CTAGAGGTATGGCCATGAATTTCGATCGTTTTCATTCTTAAATACATGGACAGAGAAAGGTGACTGTTGGACAGTAGTATGTAAGAGAGAGATGTTGTGAATATATGCACAGCAATTGAATCATTTCTAATTATTGAGAGTTACTAGGATAGAAATCCTATCATCGACATGTTTCGAAAGTTGCGTACTTTGTTGCTCTTGATTATTTAGAGATGGAGTAAAACCAATAAAGCGCATTGAATTTTCCACAGAAACAGAAACTAATGAATTGGGTTTAGCTAATAAACGGGCCAACTAAAGACAATGTTGAATTTTGACCCTAGCTATCTTAATTGAAAAAGAAGTGTTTCTAAATATCTGCTTAATATCTGTTTAATCAACGGTATAAAAACAAGCAACTAACATACAACAGAGGCTCATGAAAGAATGTGTCGACGTATTGTATTAAAAATTCCGAAGAGAATTAGAAAAAATTAATTAGCATCACCAGTGTATTCTCTTTTGCCAGATTTTATATTCAATTTCAATATGAAATAGATTATCATAATATTAGCGATGGTCAGTCTAACAAACAGTACTTATCAGAAACGCATAGCCATGATACAAACCAATATGATGAAGAATTACAAAGCAAAATGTCACAACGAACGAACGGAAGTATGAAAGTTGCTAGCGAGTAAAATTCGTTCTAACCACTGTCCCAGAATATATCAGCCTCTCGGAATATTACCAATATTTCCACAGATTTGCATTCTTTTGACTAGGATTTTGTACCAACATATTCCTGATTCAATACTCTAGAAATCTGTAAAAAGCGCTTTCGTATCATGATTAATAGGGAAACATTCTGGGCTGAACACTACAGAATGCTAAAATAACAGGTATTCTAAGAATGTTTCTCTAAATAACTAATTACGCTTCCCCTTTGGTTTGACATGTGCCTAGTAGCGTTCGTCTCAGTTAAATGAATACCAGAGCGTTGTGTAAATCTAGTAGTTCAATCTTTTGCCTTCAAAACAACTATAATATTTGATTGTTAAAAGTTAGTTTTGGGTATAGACACTAGAAATTTACAATGTGACACCAAATCTCTATTGAAAAGTTCGAAATGTCTGCAAAAGAAAAAGTTGGCCTGTAAGCGAATGAAACTGTGCACCTGAATTTTGAAGTACCATCTGGAAAGAGCTTTTCAAGTGCTGCAAAATCGCTCATTAGATTTACTTAATTATATCTTGTATATTCCACAGCTAAGACGATGAAAAGCGACAAAATAATATTACTAAATACGCTCCATGGGTCTCTTACTGTCCTCAGCTGACAATGTTTTCCTGTCAGCTTTTAAACTAAAACATTTTATACAAGTTTCTAGAGAATCGAACGAGAAATCTGATAGCCGAAAATTCAAGTCGAAGGAATATAAAGCGATGAAGTTGTTGCTAAAATACTGAAAAGCTTATTTATTCTAAAGCATTCGTTACGAACGACTTATTACAACATCCATATTGAGCTCAGAATGAGACCAACAAACAAAAGCTATGCAATTGTGAAGAATTCTGCCCTTGTCACATAGCAAAAAATCTGCAATGTGCATCGATTGTTTAGTCGATAATGCTTTTATTTGCCTAGGCTTCATCAGTAGAAACAGATGTTGATAAAATATGCTACTATTAGAATGGTGAACTCTCATTTCCTTTCTAATGTCCATACTGAGCAACTATCTTAACACATTGGGCAATGTATAATAGTGATCTTCCAAATAATATTTATCATGGTGTAAACAAGCATGGTTTTAATGTAACATCCACTAGTTTTGCTATTAATTCTAAATTCATTTTTCAAAGATGTCGGAAATCAAATGAGTGCATCTTAATAACAAGTTTACATAACTCGATCAAAGATGTTCAGGCCTCATAAAAGTTAAAAATTCTACAGAGAAGTTAGCTGTGCTGAATTTTTCATGTTCCAACATTTTTTGAGAAAATCATATGCACTGTCAAAATTGTGCACCCTATAAATGACGATACTTTCTACGCTTTATTTCTGACTATAAACTTTCTTTGAATGAAGTACACCCAACAAAACTCTATATCTATACAAAAATAGTTCTATAGAAGAGTCTGTTGACACGAATCCAATGGCAAGTAATTTAGTCTCGATTAGTCAAAAGTTCATTTGAAGAGTTACATTGTTTGCAGTTTAGCATCAATTAGTGATCGATAGAAAGACACTCTTGTAAAAACCGAGCGGCCATTACAGTTACTTCTTACATAGCTCACGATTCCGGTGCACGTCCATGTATTGTTCACATTCGTCATAATTGGGCCTCCACTATCACCAAAACAGGCACCAGTCGGACCAAAACCGGCACAAAACTTTCGGTTAGTTGAAGAACCCAGATCACAGTCGGGCGACGTATTTTGAACTTGAAGCATGACTTGCTGCAATGTACTCTCATCAGGTATGCCAGCTAAGGCCGATGTTTTTCCCCATCCAATTACCATACCCTTCTCATTGAGACTTGGTACTGGATTGCTTGCTGAAGGCAGACAACCAAGGCTAGTTGTACCTGTTCCAGTAAAAGCTGATGACAGTTTTATGATGCCAATGTCATAATCTATGGTGTCGTTATTATAATCAGGATGATACCATATGGAAATAACGCTACGACTTTGACTGGTCTTTCTATCAGAAAGCTTATGCAAGCCAGCATAGACAGTCAGGGAACTCGGTGATACTCCGATCAAGCAGTGAGCTGCGGTTAGCACATGCCGATAACTGATGAGTGAGCCACCGCAAGTAAATTCACCGTTCTCGTAAATAGCCACAATCCATGGCCAGCTATTTGGTATTGCAGTGTTCCCGTTGACGATACGTACCAGGGTTGAGCTGATGCTAACCGATGAGCAGCCACAAGTAGGGCATGGACTGAATGTAGTCGTAGAAGTTGTCGACATCCTGGACGAGTATGAGGAGCCAGATTTCTTCAACCCAACTCCGAGACCCACACCAAGTGCAATTGCTATAGCACCCAAAATCAAAAATAATACAACGATAACTCCAACGATAATGCAAACAATCTTCAATTTGATTGATCCACTACTACTACTTGCTACATATCCGTAGGATGGTGCTGGATAGTCCATTTGGGATTGACGTTCGCAACCCAATAAAAAGTTCAAGCAAATATTCAGTGACTGTCACTCAGTTTGTGTTTCTATTCAGATAATAACGTATAAAACGACTCACGAAATGAATTCAATATGTACTTGTCATTCGAAAATGAAATGATGCTTGTATATATTATACAATTTGAGGAAGTGCAAGAGAAAAATTGTCGTTTGCATTACTCACTACTGTACATATGCTATTTCTATTTTATTTTTTATTACCTCATAAATATGAAAAATGGATTGATCACCCATCTTGATAGCGCGTGTAATGTTTTTTTTCTAACCCTAATTTCTTTTTCATAACAAAAGAAACAAGCATTGACTCTAGACTAATTACTCCTAATGAAGAATTACACTCCATCAGTTCTGCAACGTTTGTATCGATTAAAATGACTAATATCAAAGTGAGATGACTTCCTCAATTTTGTTCTTTGCAAGTAATTCACTTCGTCATCAACACAAGTCAGGCTTAATGTACATAATCTCTCATGATTAATCAATCAATCGTTGCTACAACGATGTATTCGCAGCTTTTCACTTAGTTCAATCGAGGCTTGAAACACTACGTTCGAGTATATATGGTATGGGTATCATAAAAAAGAATATTGCACCCACACCCACACCAAGTTGTATTGTAATAAGTTTAGGAAAAAGTCAATAGTATATGCTAAAGTTTGTCCAGAGAAGGGATGGCATACTCAAAAGCTTCGTCAAGGATTATATCAATATGTACAGCAGGGTAATATAGTGTCTGAAATGAAGAAATGGAGAATCAAACGATATCTGCTGTTTCCTTTGGCATGTATCATCTATATTATCATTAGGAAAGAATAAGTTTGTATTGAAGATGTATCTGATAATACAAATAGGTACTTTCAGCATAGCGATATTGAATGAATCTAATCAACTCATAGAACAGGAATTATAAATACAAACATTTTTGCAATGCTAAAAGTTCCGAGCAAGCGTACAACTATACAAACGGTTATCATCTTGAATTATTAATTTCTTTGACTTTTTCAAATAAATTATTTAAAACTCTCTGACAATATATCAAAAACTCATAAGAGTAAGAGTTTGTGAGCTTCACACTCTGATCACTCATGGAGCTGCATTCACAAGTTTTCTAGATTATTCTAAGGAACCCAGATTTGAACAGATTATTCTTGATATAGATTAAAATCGATCATTGAGATTATTTGCCAAAAAGTTAGTTTAATCAAAGCGCAGTATATTTAATCAAATTTTTGTGACTTTTGTCACGCAATCAATTTTAGTCTGATTTTTGGACCGTCTTTTTACATGGGTAGTAGTAAGTTGACTACTTCGTATTTATAAATTCCTTTGGTCGCATCTACACTAAAGCAACAAATAAAGTGCTTAGAATGCGTTCCTGGAATCTTAGACTACGACTCACTGACACAAGAATGCGTTGAACAAAAATGAAACGATGTGTGGTGGGGTTGTGGATAGAAATGCATTCCCATCGACACCCACACCCTACTTGTTTCTATGTCTTGTTGCAAAGTATTACATCCATTTTCAAAAATACTCTTCAATATACGTTATGAGGCATGTTGGAAGTATCCGGATTCGTTCGGATTCCGTTACGGTGACTACATAAGCAGACAAAGATTTTGAAACACGTGTTCAAACATTTCAAACCAAATCGCCATTACGATCAATTTATACTTATTAGGATGTGAGTATGGGCGTTGGTGTGCATTCCATTCACACCCACACCCTATTCGGCTAATTGTTGGTAAAAACAAATTAGCGATTAAAGTAGAAAACACAGAAAAAGAAATATTGAGAAACAACAAAAATATAGCTGTGCAGTTTAATGATCGAATTATTTTTTGTTAAAAACTAAGGTTTTTTTTATTTAGCGTGACTTGAAACTTTTAGAAATATTTTATTGTTGAGTGTAATTTTTTGCTCGTCGACTTTATATCTAATATAAAAAATATAGCTTGCTCATCTCGTTTAAATATATAAACTGATATTATGATTTGAGAAGAAGGAGGTTATTGCATTGAATTCGTATTTATAATTTATTTTCCTATTGTTCAACTTATTTTGCATATCGTTTCATCAACGATGTTGATCTCTTCAACCTATTGTCATTATAAAAACATGCATCACATCAATCAAACGTATATATGTAGTACACAAAAACTTTCTCGTAATTATTGATAGTGGAACAAATGAAGAAAATTCAAAACGTAAACTTCGTTCAACATCATCGTCTTGTTTGTTATACACTACTAATAGAATAGCGAGAGGATTATATATCTATACTAAATATGTGCTACGATTATTTCGTAATAGATAATAAAAGCAGTCAGCAAATAGAATACTTTTTTGTTGGTATCTCAACATTTAGACGACTTATGACTTTACTTTCTACAATTTTGCATCTTTTTTCTGCTAAGAATCTGTATCATAGCATGACGAAAATGATAAGACTATGAATCGTTTAATAATTGAAAAATGTATAAAAAAAAAATTATTGTATTTGCTATTTATTTTTGATATCTATTACGAAATAATGATACTGATAATAAGGTTTCTTCAGCATTTTATTATAAAGTACATCTAACATTGAAGTGATTCACGAGATTTTTCTCGTTAGACAAATAAAACTTCGGAAGATACCGAGCATTAAAGGAAATTCATCATACATGCAACCAGAAACACTGTATGAAAGAATTCTGAGCAGTACTGTATACATCAGCTTACGTATTTAACATGCTTTCACGTGCGTTTTTGATAAATTATCGTGTAAAAAGTCATTAAAATATCTTCTTTTTAACAATAAAACACGCGTTACAATTTTGAAACGCGTTTAAATGTGTCAATTTTGCACAGTTTTCACGAATTTGTAGAGTCAAAAAGATAACATCTTTTTCCATAAAATCGTTAAATTCTTAATGAATTTTTATTTCACATAGCTTTGCTTAATTGGGAAATATTTTTGCATGGGTGAGAAGTTTTACTGTATATACTTCAATATTCATTAATAGCTATACTTCACAAAGGTTGTAAGCGTCTAAATAAGCTGAGAGCAAATGCAAAATTGTAAGTAATGAAGATACATGTTGTGAAATAATTGGTAGCAAATGTTCGTTTTCCATTAACACACCATTTTGATATTGTTACATCAACATTAAAAATAATGAGCATTTATGCAGTCAAAACAAATGCAAAAAGCATAAAGCTTCGTTAAAAAATGTTAAATTTTGGAAATTATGAATAATTCATTTTTTCTTATTAAAAAAAAATCAGTCTTTGAGTTGAACCTTTCTTGATTCGGTTAATGGTACACTGTTTCTCTTGTAAATATAGTTAGAAAAATTAGCGCACAATAAATCATTAATTCAAAAGAATATGTCAAATGAATGCTTGAATTAGGCAAAGAAGTCGAAGTAGAATTACCAAATGGTTTTGACATGTTCAAGTATTTCAACGAGAATAGTTGTCCTGGTTCGGTAGCTCCAACAAAATCAATTTTTGTTGGAAAGTCTTGAATGCATGTTGAATTACTCCATTCTGGTGGAAATAGATCAGGAAATGCCCATGAATAAATCAAGTGAATTGGACAGGTAAATTCAAAGGCTGCCATAACAATGATAACATGACCGACTAATGGAAAGGTATAGAGTGTTCGTGTTTTTCCTGTGAGTGATAAAAGTTGAACAGCATAGTCGAGTGGTGCCGCCGTATCGAATTGACCTGATAACATCAATACAGGCGAATAGGAAGCCACTTTATTGCGATATTGATCCAATGGATACTTAGGCCACTGGGAACGTAAGGAAGTATATTTAAAGTCAATTTTCCCTGCTATGATAGTTGACTTATGCCAAGCTAATATTGTCACGTTATCAACTTCATCTTGATCGAGAGCCAGCCAAAGTTCTGATTGTGTAATATGAAAGCCAAGTACGAGAGAAACAAGCAATGGTGGTGGATTAACTTCATTTGTGATTTCTTCTAGTTTAAAGCTTGTTTCAAAAAAAAACTTCAGTGCAGTGACATCTTCTTCATTACAACGATTGAGAAGAAAGATGATGGCTGGAATTACAGTACTATCAAAATACTGCTCACTCGATCCCACTAAGCGAGACAGTATATTGCGAAGTTTTTCTGCAGTTAGTTGGTATTTTGATAAATAATTATTTGCACAATTTTGCTTGTTTCCATCTAATTCACGAAGCAATCGCGATAACATAAAATGTGGTGGTTCATCAACTGGAAAGTGTTGATTGCATTCAATTTGAAATTGGCAATAGGCTAAGAAACGCATAGCAATAGATGAAGGCCAAAGATCATATTGACTGACAGAGAATAATAATGGATTAACTACACTGTCCATTATAGCCGATTGAACAAGATTTGGATAGATTTGAAGAAAACGATCGAGCCATATCGTACCATAACTAACACCATAAATGGCGACTCGACCAGGGAATATTGACTGGTAATATTGAATTTGAACAGCTATATCATGAGCAGCTGCAGTAATCGAAAATTGTTTCAATCCTTCAGAGCCCCATCGTGAAATGAGATAGGGAATGCACGCAGCAGTTATATTTTGTGAACCGTTATCATCACAAGCCAAAGGACTCGATAATCCACAGCCACGATGGTCCGGAAGGATAAAAGTAATACCGTAAGTATCCGGAAAAAGCAGCGCTGCCAATGATACAAAAGTCCAACCAGATTGACCTGGACCACCGGTCAAAATGAACAAAGTATTGTTTGTTCTATACTGTGGATTAGAAGGTCTAAGACGTGTCATCGAAATTGAAATGTTACTCTGATTAGGTTTGGTATAATCGAGTGGGAGTTGTAGCATGCAACAATCGAGTGAATAATTTTGAATTTGAAACATTGTATTGTTCACATTGCAAAGAGACCATACACAACCGTTCGCTGGAATATATATGCTCGCTGTACTTCTTAACTGATGATTGATGACGAAAAGTAGTGTATAAAAAATGATAGCAAAGCGTGGTTGCATTGTGTAGCTCATACCTTGAAAAGAAATGATCGATAGCTCACCTTACATATATATTATATTATCGTAGTTTTTTTTTCGTTCGCATATTAAATAATTTTCTTTTGCCACACTATACGTGTACCATTCAATATACCTTCACAACCTTGAGAAAGTAAGATGTAAAATGTTTTCATGAATGAATGTTTTACGATGACTAATTCATATCATGATGTCGTCAAAAAAACAAAAAAAACATGAAAAGCAATGGACGTAAATAGAAACTCGTGTTGTTACTTGATGCTATAAACGATAAATTACCTGGAAAAGAGAAAAACAGCTTATGAGATTAGTAATTTATCCCAATTTGTCATGTAGAATCAACATCAAAACGAGCACGACGTGCCGTAATGTATATGTGAAGTGAATAAATATTTTGAATAAAAAGATCATCACAAATCTTAAGGCCCCCCCCCCCCCCTCAAAAGTCTATTTTAGCCTAGGAACGTTCAAATTAGATGAAACTTTCAGGATATGTTGGCGCTAGA